CCCGGGGGTGGCTGCTGGAGCTGGCAGGGCTGCCCGGGGTCCGGGAGAGCCCGCTGGGCTGGCAGCGCTGACACGGGGCTGGGGTGACCCTGGGGCTGGCTGGGCGGCTGCTGCTGCGGGCGCTGGGCCGGGCTGGTCTGGTCCCAGGGGTTGGCTGGGAGCGGCCCCCCTTCTGGGGAGCACACCTGCATGGAAGAAAGAGCACGTGTCCACCTGGGCCAGTGTGCCTGCAGACCCCCCGTCCAGCCCGGCCCAGACATGCTGCCCCGCACCAGCAGCCCAGCCCCAGGTGAGTGAGAGCGTGACACGCCAAGAAGACCCTCCCTGGAAGAAGGAGTGAACAGCGAGTCGGAAGAGGGGCAGCCTGCCAGGCACCTGCACAGCCTGCACTCTGCTCGCTCGCTCGCTGGGAGAAAGCCCCCCACCAAGGACCACCGGCCACGAGTGCCCCAGACCTGCGCTTCACGCAGGTTTAGCAATGGAGAGCACCCCACAATGAGCCCGGCCCCCACGCGGTACAGACAGTGGACACCCCGTGGTTGGCGGAGCCTGACGGACGCAATGGGGAAACGGGGCCAGCCTATCAGGTGCACCCGCAGGCCCCCCACACCTGCTTCAGCCCAGGATCCAGCCTCACAGAGGGCACTGCCCGGCCCCAGTCCACCTGTGCCCCACACCCCATGCCCGACAATGACAGAGTGCGTGCCCGGCAGGCCCAGATGCCGACAGGCAGTGTCCAGGTGCTGGTGTGGCCCATGGGTGCCCATGGTTCTGAGTGGGGTGGGCCACGCTCACCTGCTTGGCGGGCTGCAGTGGGACTTTCTTCCCCCGGTCGCAGGTGGGCTCCAGGTCCTGCTCGGGGCTGCCCACCTCCGGGGGCCGGCCGTTCTCACTGGGCTCTGCCGGCGGGCCGTTTTCTGACTCCCGGGGCTTTTTGACGAGGCGACGCTCCCATTTCTCCTTCCGCTCCTGTGGCTTCAGGGCCATGTCCTTCTGTGGGAGGCGGGACGAGCAGGTTAACTGGCAGTGACACTGGACACTGTACCCCACGACCCCCAGCCAGTTCCAGGACCTGTTGCCACCATCACCGAAGGGGACAGAGGCGGCCATGAGGAGACCCTGAAGGGATGCCCAGGTGGGGCCCCAGAGCCCAGGCACCATCTACCCAGAGATCTACCGCTGCAGCCCACCTGGGTCATGCACACCTGTGGGCACACCTGACCGATGGGCAGATGCCACCACACAGACCCTGCCCGGACGCAGAGCGACCCTACACGGTGGGCCGGCACAGCGGTGCGCCACCCCCAGTGGCTGAGGCAACGGCCCCGCCCTGAAGGCCCTGCACCCGGAACACCCCTGGACACCAGGTGGCTCTGCTGCCTGAAACCACCGATTCTCTGTAGCCACCTTACGGCGTGGTCCCCTTAAGCATCGTTACCAACACTTGGTCCCCTTAAGCATCGTTACCGTACAGCACCCACATTCCCAACTGCACCCACAAACCACCTGTGAGGCTAAGCCGTGAACAGTGGCAAACACCACCTCCGTGTCCCCTCCCTGGGGCCCAGGCCCCCGGCCCTGCAGGCAGAGGCGTGGCCCCACCCCTCTGGCCACGTGGGCACCCCACCACGCCTGGAATCGGACTGCCTCTTCACACCCTGCCCTTGTGGAAGGAGGCCCTGTGGGGTGAACATGTCACCCCTGGACACAGCCAGGCCTGGAGCCCCCTCCTTTTAGGGGCCAGGAGGCTGTGGGTCATGGAGGCCGCCCGACCCCCAGAGCTCCTGGACTGGAGACCTAGAGGCCCTCACCCACTCGGTGCAGGAGCTCCGGCCAATCCCGCCTGCCCCACCTGCAGGCTGGACGCCCTTCGCACGTCTGCCCAGGGCCTCGCGCGGCTGTGTCTCCCCCCCTGGCATCCCTATGGCTCACACCTCCCACTGCAGCCCCCACGCCCTGCCCCACCTTCGAGACCTGCCCCCTGGGGCACAGAGGACCCCGCAGGGTTCCCTCCATGTGGTCCTCTCCCGTTTGTCTGGGACTGAGCGGGTTCCCAGGACGTGGGACTTGGGGTGCTAAAATCGGGGGACCTCAGAGACTGCCAAGGCCCCTCAGCCGCCACAAGGGCACCCTCCGCTTTTACTCACAACCTTTGTCAGGGTCCCTCCCACCACACCCACTGGGAGCCAGGAGGGGGGTTCTCTCTGCCTGGCCCAACTCCCCGACCCCCTGCATCCAGGACGCGCACCTCCCACACCCGACATGGCGCTGACCCCCGGCCCTGGCATGGGGACCCTGTGCAGTGGCCTCCAGCTGTGCTGCGTGCGGGACAGTTCACCCCACACCTCCTTGAGGCGCATCTACTGACCCCAGGCAAGGCCCCTGCCTGGGAGGCACCTCCTTCACCCACTGGCGCACGGCTGTCCCCGTGTTACACCGCCCCCGAGAAGGCCTCCCTGCCCCGGAAGCTTCTGGATCCTGCCTCACTACACCTGGGCCAGTCTCCTGCTGCCCATCCAGGAGATGGTCACTGTGACCCTGCGCTGACCACCTGGGCCACCCCCGACCCACACTCGACAGGGATGAAATGTTCCCAACCTGTCAGTTTCTGCTCTCCCAGCCCCTCCCCTCCGCCCTCACTGGGCACAGGCAGCGTGCCCCTGCTCCCCTCCGCCCGGGACCTGCTCAGCTGCCGCTGCTGCGCGGCTGTCACCCAGAGGGAAGGAGGGACTATAGCCTGCCCTGCCCACGGGGGTGGGGGGCAGGGAGGCTCTTGGGGTGCTGTCCCAGGATGGGGGACAAAGAGAAAGAACATGGGACCAGCTCAGAGAAGGGCTGCCTCGTCCCGGTGAGGAAACCAGTCCCAGAGCAGGCACGGGCTCCTGGTTGCGTGGGGAGTAGAAGCAGCTGTGAACCGGGGTCGCAGGCCTCACAGCCCCACTGGCCTCAGTGCCCCCCGCCCCGACCTGACAGCCTCGTCAGGCACCTGCCGGCCTAGCCACCTGTCTACTCCCCTGCCGGGGGCAGGTCCCACAGAGGCACTGGGCCTGGTGTGGTCGGCGCTCAGTAAATGCTCAGCGAGTAGGGAGGGGACAGAGCGCGCCCTGCTGGCCAGCAGCCCTTCCCAAGGCCACCCCAGCACAAGGGAGCACGGCCTGCCCCAGGGCCACCACAGACAGGCCCCCAGGGGACATCCCCAGCCACATCCGGGCAAGGGCTGCCAAGGGCGGTGAGGGAGGCGGCTCCCATCCCCGGTGGGCCTCCCGGCGGCCGCCCTGCTGGCCCTGCTCCCAGCAGCTGGTCCCACGGGTTCCCTCTCACCACCTGCCTCCCCACTGCGACCAGCGTCTCTAATGGAACCACAGGTGGGCTGGGCCCGGGACCCGACTCTGTCCCGTGTGGAGGGGCTGACGGTGCCCCTGCACCCCACCGCCCCTGACACAGGACCTGCAAACACGATGCAACTGCAGACCAGCTGCGCCCAAACCCCAGCTACAGGACAGCCCCCCGGCTGGCAGGCCTGACGCCCCCACATGGAGGGGACAGGACACGAGAAGGTGGGCAGGGGCAGCACTGCAGTCCAGGCAGATGTGGCCACCAGGGCACTGCCAGAACCTATGGGAACCCCACAATCTGCCCAGGTACGAATGAGGGGGGGCAGCAACCAACAGGAACCAGTGGAAACACAGGTGGGCCAGGTCAGCAAACCGCACAGTCCCTGGGCGGGCGGAACCTGGCACCACCTCTCAAAAGAGCGACTGCCCTTCACTTGTCAAACCCCTGCCCATGGGGGAACCCCACTCACCACGACGCTCGGCCTCTGTGCTTAACTCCCGGGGCACCCTGAGGGCCTCCAGGCACTTCAGCCAGAGGGGAAGGAGCGGGGGAAGACTGGACGGGCTCCTCCACCCCCTTGCCATTCGGGCGGCTGGGGAGCAGGTG